GTGCGATGGCGCATGGGCTGAAGGTCCACCGCGGCGTTGGGCACGTAAGGAGTGTCGCGCGTTGTGCTGTCGGTTGCGCCTGTTGCTCAAGACGCGGCTCGTTTCAACCACTGGTAGAAAACAGCCTGTTTGCGATGCCAACTGCGATGCCATTTTGACACAAATCAATGCCATCGCAGTGAGTGCGATGGCATGAAAGGGGCTGTGATAGCATCAATTTGTGTCAAAATGGTATCGCAGTCGGCATCGCAAACAGGTTGTTTCCCACTGGTGAACACGACAGTATCCCTGCTCGAGAGTGTAGGAACGAAACCAGAATGGAAATTGGTGGTAAAGTGTATCCGTGCCATGAATTCGGACTTGGAAAGCAATGCAGTGCTGGGCGAATGTGAGCTTGCTTGTCCTGGGAGAGTGTGACTGGCTGGACGCCTATTTGCCCGCGAGAGTGCTAGACCAACCACTTGCTTATAAACAGGGGTGACTTTTCTTTTAGGGGGGCAGGGAGATTGGCCTGCTCGCCGTCCATACACAGTATCGATACATTCGATGGCTACTGGGCCCATCCATCCACCGACAACGGCTGTCCAATACCGACTGCAGAAAACCAAATGAGCTGGAAGATGAGTTCCAGTCCCAAAATAAGACGAGGGACCTCATTTTTGCTTTCCATTCATTTTCAAGTCACCATGCGAGATGCTGTCGGACGCCGGCTTGCGTTGTTATTAAAATGAATGGTAAGCCGATCCTTTTGTGTTTTGGCTTTTCGGCTGCTTTTTTGGCTTTTTGCTTCTTTCACTGGGTGGATTGTGGTAATGTCTTACGTTATCGTGGAGCAAGATATGGGCACTGATATGCGCGGGCAGCATAACGAGCTGATGGCTGCCTCCATGCCTCGACGTGCAAGGCTTCTTGGTGACGAGCTAGTGAATGGTGATTCTGACGTCCGCCCAGGTTGGAAGAGAAGCTGGAGTCCAAGATCTCCGACCTGCGCACGGACATTGGCACCGAGTTCTCCGCCATGCGCACCATCCTTCTGAACTGCCTCTCCGAGAGTCCGCAAGCCCCCAGCGGCCCCCAAGGACACCCCGCCACCCGCCACGCCCCTTCGGTCGCCAGCATCGGGAAGGCCACCGCTCGGCGCACAAACACCGGCAGTGTCGATAAGGCGCCGCCGAATCGGAACTACGAACCTATTCTATACGATTTTGATGGCGTCGGCCGATCTGCGGCATCGCCTCACAGCACGGAAGCTCCCAGCGCGTCATGCCACAGCGCCGCTGACGTCGGGTTCCGGAGAGGGGCCCGAGGGCCCGGGGGACCCACGGACGCCCTTGGGCCCCCAGGGCCCAGGGATGCTCGGGAGGGCAGCGGGGAGGCCAGCCCGCTGCTCATACCCGCGCACCCCGGGAGGCGGGGGTTGGCTGGTCAACGGGTCAACCCCACGGCGTTGACTCCGGCGTTGGCCGCGTTGACTTCGAACAGCGCCACGGACTCGGACGGCGGCGAGCCAGCGGGCAGACAGCCGGGAGGGACGATGCACAGGCTGCTGTCCTGGGGGAGGGTGGTGACCAAAAAGATGAGCGGGGGCAATTTTTCCTCCGCGCCAGCGGACGGGCCCAAGGGCCCCGAACCTGGCCCCTGGGGCCCGGAGGCTGGGCCACCGGGCCCGGAGGGCGGGTCGTGGAGCCTGCGGAGGTCGATGTCGTGGGACGGGAGGGAGGGCGGTGGGGCGGCCCACGAGCTGAAGGAGGTGCTGGCGGGGGGCCAGTACAGCATGTTCGCAGCGGCGGAGCGGCGGCCCGCGGATGGGTGGGCGTACCGGGCCAACCTAAGAGGTGCACTGAGCGAGAGGAAGCACTGCGTGAGGGTGCGGCGGCCGAAGAAGAAGAAGGCGCGAGAGGTGCAGGGCATGCGGATCGGATTAGATGAGACCAGAATTTCAGATTCTGGCTCTTCAAGCGACCCTTGGATTCGACTGGCTATGTTCGGCCTTCTCCAAACTTTTTTGTCGTTGTGTTTTTGCGCTTTGGAGCTCAACAATTTTGATTTTAATTGCCTGGACGAGTTGCCAGACCGAGTTGCGGAAGACGTTATGTCGATTTTGACACGCTTAGCGTCAATCTGACGTTAGGCCCAGCCCCCCACCAGCACCAACTTTTATTGACGCCATCGCAGTTGCTTTGATGCCCTACGGCCTGATGCTGTCATGATCTCTGCGACGGATCCGCTCACTGTCAGGTGTCTGTCGGCATCGCGGAATGGCGTTTCTGCCAGCGTCCGCGCAGCCCTCAAATTTCCATTTCAACATTTCAGCATTTCGAACTCCAAATTTCAAGTTTTAAGTTTTCGGGCTCCTTCTCCCACAGGGACGCGCCCGCGACATGGAGGCGGCGGCCGGGCGGGCAGTGGACGCGGACAGCGAGGGGGAGCGCATGCGGCTGGCGGCCCTGGACTTCAAATTCAACTACCCGACAGGCGAGGAACAGGACAGGCGCCCAAGCCACCAGAAAAGCCCCGAACCGGCAAGTGCAACACTCCCCGAGCGTCGCCGGCACCAGGTGCCAGTGGCGGGCCTTCCCGTGGGGCGCCCAGAGCGCCGCATGGGCCGGGAGGACATGCTGGCGTTCGCGTCGCTGGACTTTAAGTTCAAGAATCCGGAGGGCGGGGCCCCGGGGCCCGGGGCGGCGCCAACCCCCGGGGGCTGTCGCGGGGGCCGGCCGGTGGGCGAGGCGGCGGAGAGCGAAGGGGAGGAGTTGCGGTTCGCGGTGGTGGGATCTGAGCGGCTGGGGCACCGGACGTCGGACTTGGGGACACTGTTCGTGGAGGGTGAGGGGAGAGGAGACGCTGAAAATTTGAGTTCTCGAAAATCGAAAGTCTTTCAGATTGATTTCTGAAATATAAATTTTGCAGAATTTGGCAGTGCGCGTTGATGTGCACAAGTGTGCTCGGTCGCAGTGGGGTGCTCTTAGTCACAGTGCTGTGAAAATTTTCCTTGGGCAAATGGAGCAAGAGATTGCTGAGAAGCAGTGGGCCTCCTGCTATCTTTCCACAAACGATCATTTGGGCTCATGAGGGAGCCAGTGAAGCGCGCTTGAAGAGCACATCGAAGCACATTTGTGGTGCTCTTGAAATGTGGATATAAATGCGTGAGCAACGCGCGTGGCGTACATTCGAAGGAGGCACTGCTGGACACTGAAATGCACATTGCAGCGCACGTTGTGGTTCACATTGCATCTCGTTTCAATCTCGCGTTGAAGCACGTCGAGGTGAAGATTGGGCTCATTTGAAGTAAATCTTGCGTGGCTGACGAGGTGCACTTTGAAGGACATTGAAAAGCGACTGCTGCATGCCTTGCCTATGCGCTTGCTGTAAATTCTCATTGATAGTTGGCTCCCTTCGAACACTACTTCGCAGGTGAAGGATTCATGCGTGACTCCACGTTCAGTCGTGATGACCAGTTAGACGGCAAAAAGACCCGCCGCACGTCTAGATCCGATTGGATAAAGGCCAAATTCAACAATACTTCCAGGTGTGATAAAGCGCGAAGATGTGATGATCATCCGCTTCAATTAGCCCAGAATCCCGTGGATTGCAATATTATTGAAAAAAATGTAGTACAACAGAGTAAGGTGAAGTACTGACCCTATTTATTGGAAAAGGATGATCATTATCAGAATTTCTCTAATTCATAAATGAAAACGCTAAAATCATGATGGCGCGTCTGCATGTTTGTTTGTGTGTTCATTTCTTCATTGTCATTCTGGTAATGGTATTAGTTTTATGTTAGTTCTATAAACAAATTTGTATTGGAAACAGCAGTTCCGGCTTTTCGAACGGTGTCATTCGTTGAAAGCGTCAAAAACGGAGCGCGAACGTACGCTTGAGACCGTTGAACAAACCAATGACCAGAAATGAAGAAACCATTATCAGATATATCGAATGCATCTAGCGACAGTTCACTGACCGTACGTCAACTTGCCGCAACGCATCGACGTAGGCTTGGCCTTTACGTTTGTGGCCCCATTTTGACGTTAACGCTTCCACACTCAAGGGAGCGCAGGCTGAGTAACAGCTATATTTATGTACTGTTATGAAGCGCTGAGACACAGGTACATGATGAAGTCGCAAGCAATGTTGCTTGCTAATATATTGATCATCAATGATCAGTCTTCCGGCCCCTCGAGCATCCCCGACACAGCGCCCACCGCCCCCTGGACAAGGGCGAGACTTTCGAACAAAATTTCCTTATACCCTTTCCATCGATCAGGATGCCACTCCCCGGCTTCCCCGAGTGTGAATGCACTGTCTTTATGTTCACACGTTCTGTCTTCATGTATTCTTACACGTTTTACGAGCAAATGATGTGAATACTATTTTGCGCTTAAGTAAAAAGCACTGTGTTACGTCAGAGAGACCAAAGTTGCGACGGCGCGTTGCGATAGTGATATTGTTCCCATTGGCCAGGAGGGACGATGAAATTTAAATAGCTTAGGAATATCTGGTTTGAAGACCGCAGGCAAAGACAGTTAACAACAAAAGCTCAAATGGATTTGTATCCTTCGCACTCATCCACAAACCGGCGTCAGATACAATTTACATGAATTAATACGATGTACGCGTATGCGAAATAATTATTCTGCTGAGATTTTCATGTGTGCGTGTCTCTGCTCTCGCCATAGTCATGATATATTGTCTTTGCACACACCGATATTCCATTTGAATATGATATTTCATCCTAATTTAGTAAATTTCAATTTAATCAAATGTAAGCTGAACACTAAACAATAGCATCAAGCTGTAGAGCTGTACTTGAATGAAATTTTGTATAAATGCAGTGGAAAATGATCAATTAGCACCATTATTTGCCGGATCTGCTTTACGGTGACAGCCTATTTGCGTTGAAAAACCTTGCGCAAGTTGCAATGTGCCACAGAATCTGTCCATTATACAACAGCCTCGAACACGCAAAACCCGTGAACAATGAAACGAACACCACCTTTCAGTGGAAATTACGCATTGTTGCTGTTTATGTGGATCAATTGCTGATTCTTAAATCTACCCCTGTGAAACTCGTTCGTGGAGCTGGATGGTATTTCTGCGACAGTTGGCTTGCATTTCACATACCTCAAAATTACATGCACCCCGCATTTCATTTACATCACATATATTCATGCACCAAATTTTCACCAGTATTGTGAAACGACCTTCAGGCGGTTCAGCGAGAGCACGACCAGCTCAACAGACAGCGAAGTGGGGGACTCTTTCACGGCGTTTGGCATCCTCAACCCCTTTCGATGGCTGCGCATCATGCTGGTGAGAGTGCGGGAGATGCACGCCTAAAATTTTGGGGGCACTTTATGATTGCAGAATATTTAACATATGCAGCACATATTTTATACTTCCAGCCGTGAGCGATTTCAGATTTGCAGACGCGGGCTATTTGGCTCAGTAACTGAGAGCTGCAAGTTGCCATGCGCTACTTAGAATAACTTAATATTACATTGTATTCAGTATTGCTACATCAATTTGATATGTTTGGCTTGGATATGATGAGCAGATACCTGCAAGTTTTCTGTATTGCCCGCGGCAATTGCCGCTTGCAAGCGGCGTTCAAATCAAATCAATGCGGCATCATGGTAAAAATGCGGCGCCATGTCAATACTCCAATGTAGCTCAGTTGGCGCTGCAGTAAGGTGCTTCATTAACGGAAATACCGATTCTCATCACTGCTAGAAAACGGCATCCTTGCGGTGCCAACTGCGGTGCCGTTTTGACAAAAAAATGGTGCCGTCACAGTGATTGAGATGGCGTAAAGTTGGCTGTGATGGCATCAATTTGTGTCAACTGGCATCGCAGTTGGCGCCGCAAGAATGCTGTTTCTATTGATGCATTAGACCTCCTGACCAAAAGACGTACTGAACCGATCTGCTAGGAGGCCTCGGGGTGCGGCGCTCGCATTCCAACGCGAAAGAACTTTACACGTTGGACTGCAACTGGATCTCGTGCAGCAATCCATACCTGATTTCAAATGTCCACGACTACTCTTTTGCCCCCATCTGCTTGAGTGACCGAGTAATTTTATGTCATAGGACATGAATCACATGAATCCCACCATGTGTTGCACGCATGTATCGCGTGTTTCTGTTTTCGTGGTGTTTCTGAATTTGACGGCGCGGTGCACGCCACAGTGCTTGGATAGAAATGGGTGCTCCAATATTTATTGGGAAGATGTACGGCCATTTGAAAGCATGCAGGATTTCCGGGAAAAGCAGCACAATAGTCAGCACTTTATAGTGCTGTGTTATGCCACTTTTCCTAAAAGGGTCAGCGGATGTTGCATTCACCTGTCGCTGTGACAATATTGGCATGTAAGTACAGAAATATCTACAGTATGGCATAGGACGGCACACGCTTGATTTACAGGAAGTGGAGAGGCCTGGGACTCAGCGGCAGTACAAATGAGGGTGCAGCGCAAGAGGCCGGGGATGCTGCTTGAATATGCACCTGCTCCTTTTGCTGATGTATTGGCGACCGCTTCATTCCCGTACACTTATCGCCGCCATTGTGCCCCCCAGCGCATCGCCCCACCCATCAGCCAAATTATTGCATTCCATAATGAAATATGGCACTGCTGCGGAGAGGTTGGGTTAATGCTTTTGAAGTTTTGTCCTCCGCCCCTGGTGAGGACATGAGCGCGCTCCCCTCACGACAGCGCACTCTGGCGAGAGATTGAATCTGCGCATGCTGTGACAACTTCCACGCGCTTATTGTTTATAAACAATGCAATTAACTAACTGCTTACAGAATACACTCACATAGTTTACTTACATGCGTGCTTACATAAGAATGTAATAGTTTGAAACCATTGAGCTAATTCTGTAGCAGTGTGCATCATGGCGCCCGTTGCCGCCTCGTGGCTGGCCCCATTGACACATTCGGGCCGATCCTGACAGGCCCTTTTCTGGGACGTCATCCATCCGACAGGCCGCTTCCGCACCCGCTGGGACTTCTACATGCTCCTCCTGTTCCTGTACGTATGCGTGGTGTCGCCCTACATCATCTGCTTCGGGGTCGTGGCGATCTCGGGGAGCCCCCTGGGCATCATAGAGACGACAGTGGACGCGTCCTTCATCCTGGACATCTACCTCAACCTGCGGACAGGCTTCTATTGTGAGCGGGCGCCATTTGGGCGGATTGAGGCAAAGGCATTGGTGTTCCCACACAGCTGTGTGTCCGCACTGCTGGAGCATCCACTCCCCAGTTCTGATGCACATCGATGCGGATGCTGACCGTTTACCTGTTTCACAGAACAAATCACGCCAAAGTCGCGCCACGCTACAAGGCCTTTTTTCTAGTTTCTGGCAGAGTATTTATAAACGAACGTGCGAGTGCGCAGATAAGATGAGAAAAAGGATGCGAAACGCTAAGAAAATAGCATTTGTGGAATAATTTGGCAAATTGGAAAATGCAGCGCACCAACACATAGTAAAATACAAGAAAATATTGTCGATGCTCGCCACTATCCGCCCTTTCCATTAAAATAGTTTCCCTTACATCTGATCAGCCGCGGTAATTTATATCAACACCGCCCTCAATTCTTGACTACATAGTTTTCTACACACCACATGATCCCTGCAGCGCCATTCACGATTGGCTATCAACCACACTCTGCAAAATTTCCTCTCACATTCAGCATTCTTTCCATCCGTTTCTTCACCAAGCTGAGCATCTGGTAACCGCACAGTTGCGCATGTGCGCAAGTTGGCTCCCAGCAGCTGCCATCCCTGGCGGCCGGCAGATTGCTTTCCTGCCACCACTCTTTCAGGAAAGGATACCGCATTAAAGCACAAAACCCAGTGACATTTTACAAAAGGCGCTCTGGCATATACTTCGCGCAGTGGCCGACGAAACCAACCGGCTGTGCACCAGCCGCAAGCGCATCTTCATCGCCTACGCCAAGTCCTGGATGTTGGTCGACCTCATTTCCGTCGTGCCCTTTGACAAGATCGTCACCAACGAGACAGTCGGCCTCGTCAAGCTCTTCAAGGTGCGCTTAGCGATCGATGCGGGCGCCCCAAGGAGCATGCTGTGAACGCCGCCCTGACGCGCCTGCTGTTGTCCCGATTGGCACTGGGACAGAAACCACACGCGGTCCACGCAGATTCGCTTTTGGGAAATGGTGGTGCGGCCAAAGTATGCGCCAAAGCGTGCACCAAACCACTGGGTAGTGTATCGCTTGTGCCCAAATGAGTTGCCGCGGCATCCCAGCCGAGTGACCGGGTATGTATGGCCGGGTATGTCGGAAAAAATCGGCGGATTTTTTCATCCGGCATCCCGAAGGCAGCATTCCACGTGTCGGTATTTCATTCAAAGGTTAGTTTCATTCGATTTTCTGTTTTCAAATCACTGATTTTGCTCAAACTCGAAATTGGAAATGTGAGAGACAAAGACAGCTATGCAGCGGCTCCTTTGCTTTGAGGAAACATGCACCAACGCGCCTCCCTAGATTCCAGTCAGGGGGTGCTATCAGCCAAGCTCTGCACCCAGTTTTGAACTTCTATCCTCCATTCCATCCCCAAGTAATCCCTTCACCAACGCCACCAACATGACTAACGCAGCACTTCATGGAGAAAAGGCTTCTCACCAGACAAATACATAAAATACAGTAAAAATAATGAATATGTAATCAAATAAAACAAAGCATAATTAAATAAACTTGCTTGCTCAACAAACAAATAAACTCAATACCAAAAGGTAATAAAATTTGGATCAATCGCTCTCAAATGCGCGTTTCTGCTATTAATGCCCGGCAGGCGACGCGCGTGGTGAAGCTGGTCAAGATCCTGCGTCTCTTGAAAATCGTCAAAATGCTGCGCCTGTTCAAAATTCCCACGCTGCTGCGCCACCTGGAGTCCGTCTTCGGCCGCGGCTTCCTGAGGCTGACGTCACTGATGTCCGCCGCCATCCTGGTGACGCACTTGGTCGCGTGCTCATTTCACTACGCTGCCTACCTGGCGGGGGATGACACACCAACGTGGCTGACGCTGGCCGGCCTGCAGGTAGATGCAATAATGGAAAGAATTAAATCAACGTATCAATCAATCTATCAATTAAGATCAGTCGATGTTGTGACTGTTCTGAAACGTGATAAAATCCAATGTGAAAATGAAAAAAAAATCCGAGAGTCCAGGATGCGGAAATGATGAACCGCGGTAAGCGCTGAATAAGGGACCGAATTCGTTCATTTGCAAGCGCAAGTGATACTGCTGACGCAAATTTGGCAGGTTTCAGCTGGCAGCGTGATGGCGATTTCGACCCAATTAATTGAGCCAGTAATAAGCAATGGACAAGAGTTTTCAATTGTGGTTTCTGCGTCCGGTAAATAACGCACATTTATGACATAATCATTGAAGACCACGCTTACAACGTTGATCATGTTCAATTACTTCACCTCTGTATGACATATGGCAACAGTTGAAAAATGCAATAACATGATGTACCGGAACAATAGAATGTGATGAAAATACAATAAAGCAGTAAAAATTTACATGGTTGTGATGATCGTATGAGCTGCATCACCCAATGATGTGCAGCTAGAAGGCACCATTGCAGTCATCATTTGCAATGAACAAGGCAGTTTTGAGCAAAAAAGACTTGAGCACTAATTATTATTGCCACATTGTAGATGTAAAATGTGTGAAAGCAGTAACAAAGCTAAAATTATGCACATACGTTCAATTGTGTACGTTCGAATGACTAAAGGTATTTCAATCTGCAGGCAAATTCAAGTAATTCACCTGTTAATCAAGCGAACAGTCATTCAAAATATGAATGGGCACATAGACCAGCTAATATATAAATCATTCACGAAACGCGCATATCACTGCATGGAGGAAATTATGGACTCCCTGGTGATCGGGATCTGCTAAGCAGCTTGAAATTAAAGAAAATGAATTTGTTCAATGCAACGTTCCATCCGCATATGCGATCAGGATGCTTCGAACTACGACCGCTACATCTCGGCGCTGTATTGGTCGATGTCCACACTGACTACTGTGGGATATGGGGACGTGACGCCCGCGAACTCGAATGAGAAAATCATGTCCATGGTGGGCATGGTGGTGGGCGTAACGGTGTTCGCGTATTTCATGGGCTCCACGTCATCAATGATGTCCAGCATTAACTCCAGCAACACAAGGCTTAAGAAGAAGCTTCTGGTGAGTTTCCCAGTCCAGAAATCAACGAAAACATATCGATACGTATCTCCTCCCACTACGGGAAAAGGGGGCGTCCGCGCAGTTCCTGAGCGCCTCGGAACCGTCCGAGAGCATCGGAGCGCCTCCGAGCGCGCTATTGGCAGTGTCCGAGGCACTACGAAAAGCGTCGGAGCGTCTGTGCATCATGCAGAAACGTCCGAGCGCTGAGACAAAAGCGTCCGAGCGCGCTATTGGCAGTGTCCGAGGCACTACGAAAAGCGTCGGAGCGTCTGTGCATCATGCAGAAACGTCCGAGCGCTGAGACAAAAGCGTCAGAGCGCGTCCGGAGCATCTGAGGCCGCGGAATCCAGCAGAAGAACTCGGACACTTTTTCTGTCCGCGCGTTGTGCAGACGCATCGGACGCTTTTCCTATGTGCTCGGACACTTTCAGCGCGGACACTTCCTATCGTCCGCAGGGCGGACAGACGCCGTCCGGGGATGCGCGGACGGTGTGTGGGCATACACGGACGCCGTCCGGGGAGCACGCGGACGGTGTGTGGGAGTGTGCAGACGCTTTCCGAAGAGTGCACGGATGGTCTCCGGGGATTGCGCGGACAGTGCGGGGATGGTTCCTTGTCGAATTTGATTTGTTTTGGCGGGGATTGCCATTGTGCCCTGCGCATCCACGTGCTATGTCGGTTGGCTGTGTGGCGGCATGGCCGCGACGCCGCCTGCAGTTCGTTCTGGGGTTGCGAGTGGTCCCCCACACAATCGTTTTGGTTGTGGCGGTGCGAGTGGTTCCCCACGCAATTGCTTTTTTGGTGGGCGTGGCGACATGATCTCGCAAGGATCGGCAATCCTCCGCAACCGCCAGAGACCACAGGGCCTAGGCAGCCTGCACACAAAGCAACTGGAAACCGTCAGTCCTTCACCTCTGCCTCTTCCATCGATGATGATGGTAGCGCTGGGGCAGCCAGCACGCAGAACGTAGAACGTCAATTCTTCACCACTTTGCTCCTCCACTGCTCGCGATCGCGGCTCCTGCTTGGCCTGCGCACGTAGCACACAGAACATCAGTTCTGCCCGACTCCTCCGTCGCCAACGATGCCCATACCTGGACGCCTGCACATAAGAGCAACCAGAATCTATCAGTCCTGCATCCGCTGCCCCCTCAATCGCGTGTGATTTTCGGCGTCCGGGTGGCCTGCACACAAGCCACGCAGAAGCCGTCAGCTCCTTACTGCCGCCTCCTCCATCGCCGCGAGGCATCCCCAATTGGTTGCCGTCCTCGACGTCCACCGTGCGATCAGCAGGACTGAGCTTGCCATGCCCTCTTCACCCTGGGGGCTTCGAGCCCCCGACGGGGGCGTGGGGGCGGACGCCTACGCGTCGCCACTCTCCCCTTTTGTCGCTGTGGGAGGTGGGCGGGACGGCGATCCAGCCCCTCTCTTCACGGCAAGTGAGGGCGTTGGCGTGTTGGGACAGTTTGGCGGGGGTGGTTTAATCACAGCAATGGCCACAAATCAGTGACACATTGATGTGTGCCCCCAGACACACTCAAACTGTCCGGGCGTTCCGCGCACGCCTTTCCAACCGTCCGCGCATATGCCCCTGTCATTTCCGATGCCTCCGTCTGAGCACGTCTGCGCAGCACGCGGACGTGTCTGAGTGGCCACAAAAAAGATATTCCGAGGCCTTGGACGCTCTGGAGGCGTCTGAGCGCCTTCGGACACTCTGGGAGTGTCCGGGAACGTGCAGAAGAGTCCGAGGCCTCGGAATGCTTTTTAGTGGCGCTCGGACACGTCTGCGCACTGCGCAGACGCTCTCGTACGTGCTTGGACGCATCAGATCCCCTCGAAAACCGCGCGGACGCCCCCTTTTTCCCGTAGTGTTTGCAGCAGTCAGGCTTCTTATCTTATATTTACATTCTTTCAGACGGATATTTGACGAATATTTGCAGTTTTTTGAGACAAATTCAGTGACTCAGATCAAACTCGGATTGTTTGTTCGATTGTGGAATGCGCGTTCTTATCAAACATTCAAATCGCATTGAACAGCTCAATTTGGTATTTTATTTGACAACTTCGACGGCGTTGAACGTGCCTCGAGGACTGCTGCGCCGCGCTTCTGTCCAGCTCAGGGCCGTTCGGCATCCATCACGTACTGCCTCGCTGCAGCTTTCGGCCTGCAGTTGAATTGCTGCCACGCCTCGACAAGCAGCCAATATGATTGCTCAAATATGATTATTTAAATTTGCAGCGTGAAAGTGCTCTCCGCGCCGCCCCCCCCCCCCCGAGCGGCTTGCGACTAGACACGGTGCTAGGTATGATCTACTAAGTATGTATTACCAACGCTTACTAATTGTTAATGTTATTGTGTTACTAAATTGTTTCGTCTAGTCACTGTGCATTTTAACCTTCATGGGAAGTCGATATCCTCGGAACAGATTTGTTATCGTGTCTGACGAATATGTTGTGATCCGTATGGTGGAACAAGTCGTATTGAGGATCCATTTTCTTCGATTTCTTTTGCCTCGAAATACGTGATTCATTTATTTGATTAGCATTTAAAAATGGTATTGAGTTCGAAATTCTTGCAATGGGATTTCGAAAGTCGAGAGTCATGCACTTCAGAAGTACATAGGCAGACGGAGTCGGCGGCTGGTCGTCATCCACCTTAGGCATCCTCGATTAGGCCCATCAATTGAGCAGACGTAATGCATCAATACAATAACCGCCCTGTTCAACAAAAATAACAATTTTGTGCTTCGTCTGGAAGCTCGTTCAGATTGCCCCCAAAATTAGTGAATTATTGTTCAGTTCAGTTCGGAGGTAAGCAAGTGCATTGAGCTTCTAAGCGGAACGCGCCCGCAGGAGGTCGAAGACTTTTTGTCCCAGCGCAACGTCCCTGCCGCGCTGTCAGAAAGGGTGCGCTCTTTCTTCTCGTACATCCTGTCACGCCAAATCATTGTGGAGGAGACGAACATTATCAACGGTGGGTGGCGGGGCTGGTGCGGTAGGTTTTTCAGGTCCATGTGTTTTGTGGTCTTCTAGCTCTCCATTGCACATTTTACTAGTTGGCAACTGTACCTTGCATTTAACTCTACAGGTCTGCTATTGCGCATGTATGGGCATGGGATTGGGTTATTCGACATGCCTACGTTGATCTGAGGCTCGTAGGCTGTCTAGACATGCGCTAATTGTCTTTGGATAGAAGTTCGTCCGGATAACAATCTTGCATCAGCAATGCCGATCATTCAATTGACAATAAACTAATTCAATATAGTGCACATATTGTGGTTTGATTTATTCGGATGGGCTGGGATTGGCGGAATTCAGTTGTCGCTCATGTCATGAACAACATACATGTCGTTATGTTGTATAATCATTTCAGATTTATTTGATTGATTTATATGCAACAATTGGTAATGGCTCCTTACAGCAGAACCCCTTGTGGCTGTGACTCACTTTTTTATTCCTATTTGAGCGTTCACTTGCCATCAACGCTCGCCTTTGGACCACTGCCATAGAGATGTCCGTACCTTTGAGGACCGAGATGGTGATGTTCTTGTATCGCGAAGCTCTCAAGAAGCTGCCCTTCTTCCAGGGAAAGGATCCGCAGTTCATCGTGAACATCGTTACGGCCCTCAAGCTCGAGTACTACGCGCCGGTGCGGCCCCCTTGCGCGAAGAGCATAAAAATCGATCCAATGCAATAAATCTCCATCTGCGTTGATTTCTGTTGACATTGCATTTAATTTTTGTTTGTATTTCAAATTTACAAAGTCCAGGGCGTTGTGCGCTGTCTTGCATATAGGTTACTCTACAGCGCTGATACAAAGTTTGTACGAATTTGAGACTCAGCAAGTGATAGGTAATTTCCATGTTTCGGGAAAAGTGGTTTATGGCCTAGCACCTTATGGCACTTGCTTGCGCCACCTTTCTTCCATATACTCGGAATGTGGGCAGCACATCACGTTGCGATACATGCGATGCATTCATACGTACCTCATATACGTATGACCGCTTCGGTCAATGAGCTTTTGAATTGATCGCATTGACTAATTAGATTTTTCATCTAGTCCTCAGGTCAAATATTCCTTATTTCCGTTCATATTTTTATTCATTCTGTAGGCAGACAGAGCTTAGTGCAAGAACTCATGGATCACTCTTTTGGAAAAATGAGGTGTAGTTCTAAGGACTGCACAATAATTGCCCATAACATTTTGCCCTGAAAGGCCGTTATTTTTTCATATCATTTCTTACTTCTTTTGTCCGGAATTAAATGGTGCCTTTTGTTCGAGAGGCCAAACTCATATCATACCCTTACCTATTCTTTGGAAAAGCTTAGCAGCACCCAGCGGACTCAAATGTGATGCTCTGGTCAAAAATTTCAAATAAAACTATTTGCTAGTGTGCAAATCACTGTACTTCGAATCCGCGCAATGCGGGCACAACGTCGGAGAATGTCAAGGTCGGGTCTGGGGACACCAAAAACGGCCCCCTCGAAGATGGTGGCGTTGCACTTGACGTTCGCACCAAGAAATGGAGACCTGCTGCCACCGTTGTAGCAGCAGGTCGGAGCCGTCCGCGAGACGAGGCAAGGCAGTGGTGCCGGGCCTAGACCCACACGATCGTCGATCCCCACCGTGGATGTCACCGTCCAAACAGATGCACATCCGGAGATATGAAATCCGAAAGCCGACCGAGCTCAGGATCGAGTCTCCTTTCAGCGCATTCCGCCGCCACTGAAGGGATGCGCGTGACTGGCAAAGCCACTGTCAAAAGTTCGGAGGGAAAGCGCTCTCGTCCTTGCGGCCAAGAGCACAAATGGCTGTCGCGACCACTCCCTCCGCAGAGGGCTGACGGGGCTGCTCGCGGCGCTTTGAAAGACGCCACCGTCCGCAACTTCAGACGCTAGTCACTAACGATACTTAAAGGCTATCCGCACAGACATTAAGGGCTTCCATCTTCCCATAGAAACGCTGCGCTGTCGAGATTGGCGGTAGTACATGGCTTTTTGAGAGGCATGTCTGGCGGGTATGCCACTCGCCTGGAATCCGTGACGGAACAGAGAACATTCAGCACACGCAGCGATGGCATTGTTAGTTTCGGGACAACCTAAGAACCTACTAGAAGGGATGGATCCTACACATGGCCGCGCGTCGCTGCACAAGATGGGTCGAAATCCTGGACATCGGCGATGGCGGCAAACAGATACGATTCCGTTTCTGCTGGCGCTATCACCAATAGAAAACAGCCTTTTTGCGATGCCACCTGCGATGCCAGTTTGACACAAATTGATGCCATCACAGCCCCTTTTATGCCATCGCACTCTTTGTGACGGCATCAATTTGTGTCAAAATGGCATCGCAGGTGGCATCGCAAAAAGGCTGTTTTCTACCAGTATATACCACGATGATTGTCCGTCATTGGGATAGAGCCCAATTTGCGTTAGGAGCTCTGCTTTCGCGGCACTAAGGAATATATGGGAAAGGCTGCACTTGAGAGTGGGGCGTTCCTGGACGCGGAGCGCTGCCGCCGGCCAGGCCAGCGAATCCTTGCGACCCGGAGGCGGCCGTATCAAAAGGCGCCATTGAATTCCGGACAGAGGAAGTGCTTTGGTGTGTTTTGTTCTTTGCTATTTGTCCGGAAAAATGGGGAATATTCGGAAGATTTGCTGCAGGGCGATGTGGTCGTGCGCCAAGGCGACCCCGGCAACGTCATGTACTTCATAGGCAAGGGCCGCCTGGAGGTGCGCCTGTACATTAGCGGCAGCAGCGAGGAGATCGCACGGGACCCGGTGGGCAAAATCAGCGAGGCGCCCATCCTGCCGTCCAGCGCCGTGAAGCCCGCCATGGGCGCCGCCAGCTACGACTTCCTGAGCGCCAGCAGGCACCGCATGAGCTGCGTCGGGCCGGCGGAAACATACAGGAAGCTGGGCGTTCTGTCGGCGGGGGAGTACTTTGGGGAGTACAGCTGCATGCTGGGTGAGGGCGACCAAGCGGTGGAAGATCGACACCGCAATGAATACATAGTTAAAAATATGAATTTTCTAATAATTCACTGAAAAATGACGCCTTCAAATGGAGGTAGACATCTGATGTAGTTTTGGATCAAAGTTTATTATGATTTGATATCATTTGGAAGCTTCTGTCAATCTCAGTCAACGAAAGTAGACCCGTTCAGAAAAATGCGACCCGTTCGTGAAAAAGCGATGCGTGTCAGTACAGTAAGGTACTGGGTAATATACCACTTTCCTCAAACAGGTCTAAAATGTATGTTATGTGCAACAAATTTTACACGTGTATCATCCATATTTCATTTTCACATCTTTGTATATCAGGGCGCTGATGAGCCAATCTAGGGGTGAAATTTACTGAATGAAGTGAATGGTAGAAGTTGCAGAGAAAGCGGACGGGAAAAAATGCCACTAAAGTGCTGTAAGATCAGTTCATATCAGATAATCAGGCAATGCGTGGGCAAGAAACATGCCAAGTTGCTTGTTCATATCATGCTGCATCATCTCATTACATTTTCAGCCCATTTCAATACACCGCTAATCCGCATCGAGAGCAAACGCCTCACTTTCTGAAACATTGCACAGAAGAGGTCAAATGCTGAAGCAGATTACATACACGGAAAGAGAGGCTCCGATACTTCATTCAGCCAAATGCAAAGCTAAGAACCCTGGTCTGTACGATAACTACCACTGAGAAAATAGCAACGTGTAAATGAAGTAGAAGAGATAGAAGAGATCTTAAAATAAATGGAAGAGGTAAAGATAATCTGAAAAAACAAGCATAGGAGAAAAGTAAGAGAAACAGAAGATGCGTACCAGGGAGAGCAGAATATTGAGCACTGCTTAAAATTTAGGTTTGCGCTGGTTGCAAGCTTACAGTGTTTGGAATTTTCCTAATTCACGCTGTTGTGGTGGCTCCCAGGTGAGTACAGGACAGCCACCGTGGTGGCCGACCAGTTCTGCGAGCTGTACTCGCTGTCCCGCGCGGACCTGGACGAAATCCTGGAGGATCTGCCCGAGCTGGCGAAGGAGTTCCTCAAGATGGTCGAAAACTACATGCAAAAGGGAGAGGTGGACATCCGGGGCAAGAGGCTGAGCAAAGTGGGGTACTTCAGCCAGGAGGAAATGGTGGCGGCGGCAGCCGACGGGTAGGCAGCGCCCGCCGTCAGTTGCGCAACACATGTGCATTGGTTTGAAGTGCTATGCTTCACGGACCCATATAAACATCACCTGTTATGGACATCGGACCTGACATATGTATTTCATTCTCCTGAAGCGGGGCTGAGGACCTTGTGTTGCTGAAACTCAACAAATCCCAAACCCGAAACCGCAGAAGTGATGTCCATGACCGCACGTCCTAGCGAAATCCACCAGGCATTAGTGCTGATGGATTGACTGATTATGTGAGCGAATGAAGGCGTGACATAGAGGGCTGCGAGCGGCGCTTCATAAAAGGACATCATTGCAAAATTGCAGCCTGCGTTGCTTGCAGGAATTCGGGCAGTCGTCACGACCGTACCGTTTCCCGGAGGTCCCTGGCGGGCAAGCTCATAAGGGCCACGGGAGAGCGATCTGGATGGAGAGGTCAATGACGCCCCGCAAAATCTATAACGGGACGGGAGCGGGGGGCAACGCCGGCGCAGGGACATTTTGGCTGGCTCCTGAGCAACAGCAGCAACATTGCTTTAATAAATGCTTTGTATTCTAGGAAAAGTGGGGCTAATTTGCCGTTTTTCTGTTTTCTTTTGACAGCATTTGAGCATTCCAACCGCGTCCCATCGGCTCAAGTAAAGTCATTCTGTATCTTCTGAGTTTTTTATTCAGCTTTGTCCAGGTTTCATCAGGGCAAGAGGCTTCTGGAAGACTCAGCGGCGATCTGCAATCAGGCATCACAGTTGGATATTTTGCGCGTCTGCGCTGCCCTTTGTGTTCTCGCAGTGGTCCTGGTGGCAATGGAGAAACCAATTTACAGACCTTTGATCTGATTTACATTGATTGCTTCATGTTACTTTTCTTGCAGCTTAACTACAACAAATAATCTACTTGTCTCAGGAAACGAAAGACATATTCTGCTTCTATTGCCTTGTCTTATCCAATTCCATGCGTGTTTGCATCTTTGTATTCAGAATAATGACAACAATATTTGTAATCCAAGGAAACCAAAGGGGCAAGTGAATAAGAAGCAAGTAGAATATATAACTATTTTATTGAACCAATATCTTGTTAGTTAAAAAGATAAAAAAAAGACAACAATGCGGGTGGCTTATCGGGATAAGCCCAATGGGCTTCTCGAATTATCACTATCCGTTAGGGAAGAGGCTATGTTGATTTTGGTACCCTTAGCGTCAAATTGACGTTATTAATCTTAATAAGATCAGCCCCTAGTCTCAATATGTGGAAGCCATGACGACTCAGCAATATTACCTAACAATGGCATTCAATTTCCAGGTGCTTTTGAGGAATAAAACAATAAAAATTGTGCTGATTTTAGCGGGTTTAAAAGTTGGATTTCAAATACCATTATAGGTGAAACGGGCAGCCTCAGTGGCTGAAAATTGATCCACTCTAAGGATATTTGTTGGATCAAACACCTGCAGAACCCTTAGGAACATGTCGCGGGCTCTTTGCCACTTATCAGTGGCGCTTTTGGGCACCTTCCCTCCTTGTGTCGATTTTGTGGCAATTGCATAATCTCTTAGCGTCACAGGTCTGTAAGCCCCTCCAGCGTTAATTTGATGCTAAGCGTACCAAAATCGACATAGTGTCTTCCCTAGCAGGATTGTTATTTACGCCGTAAAATTGATCGCATTAGCGTTCTTGCGCATAATCAGGCATGGGATACGTAAACATAGCCGTAAGCACGGTCAGCTTATCCATACATATGGAATCCGGGGAGTGGCAGCCACACGTGCTGGAGTGGGCAGAAATCGAACTTTTGTTCGACGACGTCATTTCCTCTTGCCGAGGATGAGGTGGACGCTATGTTGCGCATGATCAAGGGGGCAGAGGATAGAGCATTGTACCGCACTTCATCGTGTAACCTGGGTGCCGCAACGAGCCTTAAACACGTAAATACAACAGCGAAATGGCTCCTTTTGCAGTTCTACGTTGTTGCACATAAAAGGGAAACACAAAACGCAAACGCAAGCGCACCATATTAACTGCCGTGTACTTGATAGGGAAATGTCGTTATAAGAAGGGAATCTGAATTAGAAAAGAAAGCCAGAATCAAAGGATTGGGTCCCGAACCCTGAGCTACAAATTTCGAGAAGAAAAAGTGATCCTCTACCCGTTTGAGCCTGGAGCGAAAAGCCAATTCGGGCGCTTGTGAGCGATAAAATTTGGATACATTAGGCAGAGTACTCTTGCTGCAAATTGATGCGAATTCCACAATGCTCAACGAATTGACTTGAATTTTTGAATTCTACGCAAAATTTACGGCCACAATTTTGCACAAAGTTTTACTGAAAAATGAGCTGCGTGTGATGTTGAAACAATGCGCCAAATCGTAGGCAATATTTGATATGGGACGAAGGAGGTAAAATACGAGGACAAGACAATAGTACTGAGTGGATGCCCATCGGGCCGGCACACATGCTTGTGGCCACCAGAACACCTGCGACCCGCATGATGCATATCGCTCAGAGGGGAAGGGAAACGAAAGCTTTCTAGGAGCGCACCGCTCCACCTTTATTTCTGCGCCCACCAACCCAAAACATATATGTGACACATCACGCAACATCAATGTCACACCTGGAAGTCACCTGTCGCCAATGTCGGCCTAGGCAAATGGAAGTTGGATCCAAAGTTACGAAAAAAAACTGTTTCCTTGTGATGGATGACGTTTGGGATCATACGGGCATGGTTGACCTTGATATTGCCACTCCGAATAGTCCGGTCCTCATAACTTACCGATATGACAAAGTTGCACATGCTGTGGGAGCGGAGTGCTATGAAGTGACACCCTTGGACGTTGAGGCATCCCGTCAATTGTTTGCAAGCTCGCCTTTGGCACTGGCATGTCGAAAAAAAATGGCAAGTGAGCCACATCCCAATCATCATCGACAAATGCGATGGCCTTCCCCTCGTGCTGGAGACGATGGGAAGGGAGGCTCGGGTTTTCAAATGGATGCAACAATGGCGAGATGACATTGAGATTTTGGCGCATAACAAGATGCTGGAGAAACGAGCGTTTGACCACGTGTTTGGTTTCAGATTCATGAGCATGGATCTTGTGCATCACGGAGTGTTGCTAGACATGGCTGTGCTGCCCGAGGACTGCCAATCAAAGGCCACAGATATGGTGGAGCTGCAGGTCAGCATTGGGTTGTTTTCTAGTGAGTGCGCTGCACGAGACGTGCTTCGTACTCTGGAGGACAAGGCACTGTTGAAGCAGGAAGGACACGATGTGTCTAAGGTGCCAGAATTTCAGCGAGCTCACAGAGGGGTCCGTTACTACTTGCATGATGTCGTCCAATAAAGTACAGTACGCACCATTGCCAAGGAATCAGCGTTCGAGCAGGAAATGTTGGTGTCGTCGCTTTTGGGACAGGGCACCTACAGGGATCAAACACTGATGGCAGCGAGGTCTTCTACCAGCCAGAGAGTAAGGACGGACCGGCCATGGGCCTTGCAAGAGCTGGAGATGCCAGAGTTGAAGGCACTCATGCTAATTAGCACTTCTCTTATAAGAGACGCTGGGATACCAGAACTGCCTTCGTCTGTTTTGACTGCTCAGCTGTTGGCAGTTGACTTGACATCTTCGGGAATCAGCGAGCTGCCACATGAAATACCGTGTCTTCAGTGTGCAAACCTGACCAGGTTGGATTACTGTGATAGTTTATGCATCTTCCAAGTGGATGCATAGGCGTCTAGAAATCCCAGAAGCCTTGTGAACCTGTCGAAACTGAGCAAATTGCTTGTTCAGAACGTGGAATTGCGTACCTGTGCCAGTGTGACATGAATTGTGGCGCAACTTGACCCTATCGGATTTGAACACGTGCACGGCTCTCAAACAGTTGCCATCAGATGTTGGAGAGTAGGCGAGTTTGACTGCCCTGTGCTTGGGTGGTTGCGTGCATTTGACATGCCTGCCAGATACTATTGGTCAGTAGGGACAGCTCGAGGCGCTGATTTTGCACCGATGCGACAGCCTCACAGAACTTCCGGACACCATGTCAAACCTTGCTAATTTTCAAGATTTGGACGTTGCTCGCAGCTGACGAGCATACCCAGTACTGTAGGGAAGAGTCGGTCGCTGCTTAGGATCCTGAGGCTTTAGCGAGATAGCCACATGATCTTTCCAGAGTCTTTGGAGGATCTAAAATGTATAGAGGTGTTGGGACTTCATAAGGAGTGCCCGATTCCTGAAACTTTCAAAAGGAGTCTTGGAAACCAGAAATAGTTACTGGAAACATCGTCGAGGGCGACGGAGCTGTTCAAGGACTGGTTGAGCAGCAATATGCAACTGAGAATCGGCCCCCGGCTTGCAGCTTAACTTCCCAAAAGCGTACTATCTTTCTGGCGTGATATTAATGGTGGTCAACACTGCTTGCGGTGCAGGAATCTTTTGGGGATGACTGCACTCCTCTTCAATGGGGTCTACAGAATGGCATGGACGAGATGTTCAAGTTTCACTTGAGTGAAACGGATGTGGATTTTGTGGAGACGGTAGTTATTGGGGAGCCCCATGGTTGCAGATGACTACATGTGACACCTATTTGCACAGAGCCTTGTTTTGCATGATGTTGGGTCCAGTTATGGCCATACCGCAAATGACTACACACAGCCATTCTGGCTCTGATCCAACACAAGGAAAGATGATAATGTGCTGGTGTCGTGCTCGATGTTCTTGCAGTATTTCTGGTTCGTCTATTTGCAACAATGATGGCTCCCTTTATCCGAAGGAAAGAGTCATAGCTGAGGGCGAATCATGTCAAAATCAGAAATGAGCATTGAATATTGCCAGCCGCACAGGCTCCAAAATGTGACTGCAAAGCGGTGGGCATGCTGATTGCATAGCAACCCGAATCCCGCCGAGCGAGGACGCTGGGAGCAACTGCTTGGTACAGTGGGCAGAAATGACAGCACAGCTATCATCGTCGAAAAATCTCACACATTGAGGCAAAGGGGTAGCCATCGGCTCTCT